TCAATATTTTTCCCTACTATTTATCAACACTATCAATATTTCCCAATGTTTATCAATATTTCCTCACTATTCATCAATATTTTTCCCTACTATTTCTCAACACTATCAATATTTTCCAATGTTTATCAATATTTCCTCACTATTCATCAATATTTTTCCCTACTATTTATCAATACTATCAATATTTCCCAATGTTTATCAGTATTTTTCCCGCTGTTTGCCAATATTTCCCCACGATTTATTTATTGGTAATGGGGAAATACCAGGCCAAAGGAGGGGAGTGGGGTTAATTAGCTGCTAATGAGGTGTTAATTACGTGGCTGGCTCGGCCCGGGGCGATCCCGCAGGAATTCCCAGCGCCGGGGGCTTGGCTGGAATTCGGGAATTTGCTCATCCTGGCAGTGAGGAGCTGCTCCAGCGCCGACCTGCAAAGGCATTTTTGGGTTAAAATCCGCCCAAAATCACATTTTTTGATCCTGGTCCGGCCCCTCCTGCTCTGGGGGACTGGGGGAAAAGGAGAAAAATGAAAAACAAAAAGGAAAATTAAAAAAAAGAAAAAAAAATGAAAAAAAAAGAAAAAAAAGAAAAGAAAAAAATGAAAAAAAGAAAAAATAAAATAAAAAATGAAAAAAAATTAAAGAAAAAAATTTTAAAAAATGAAAACAAATTTTAAAAATGGAAAAAAAAGAAAATAAAAAGGGGTGGGAAAAGGGGGAAAAGAAAAAGAAAAAAAGGGGAAAAAAGGTGGAAAAAGTAGAAAAAATGTTAAAAAAGGGGGAAAAAAAAGGGGAAAACAGAAGAAAAAATGTTTAAAAAAGGGGGAAGAAAAAGGGGAAAGAAAAAAAGAAGGAAAAGAGGGAAAGAAAGGAAAAAAAGGGGGAGGAAAAGGAAAAAATGAAAAATGGGGGAAAGGGAAAAAAGGAGGAAAAAAGTGAAAAAATGGGAAAAAAGAAAAAATGGGAAAAAAGAAAAAAAGGAAAAGGGGGAAGAAAGGGAGAAGAAAAGGCAGAAAAAGAAAAAAAGGAAAAAAAGGGGAAAGAAAAAGGGAAAATTAAAAAAAGAGGAAAAAAAGGAAAAAATAAAAAAGGAGGGGGAAAAAGAAGAAAAAAGGGAAAAAGAAAAAAATGAAACAAGGGGGAAAAGGGGGTAAAAAGGGGGGGAAAGGGGAAAAAAGGGGTAAAAATTAGGGAAGGGTTGATTCGAGCACATCAAAAATTCAAATTTCTAAATAATAATTTAAATTAGACCAGCTTTAATCTCTTCCCCAGTTAATATTTCCCTAATTTTTAACCGTTTTCTGATGGAAAAAATGAAAATATTGACCACAAACACCCTGAAAATGAACTGGGTACACTCAAACTTATTAAATATTTAAATTTAGGAGGAGCATTGACAATGACTTGGAATTCAAATTATTCAAGGTTTAATCCCTTCCTAGTTCATATTTTACTGAATTTTAATACATTTATGAGGGAAAAAAAATCAAAATATTGACCACAAACACCCTAAAAATGAGCTGAGTACACTAATTCAAATTATTCAAGGTTTAATCCCTTCCTAGTTCATATTTTACTGAATTTTAATACATTTATGAGGGAAAAAAAAATCAAAATATTGACCACAAACACCCTGAAAATGAGCTGCGCACACTCAAATTTATCAAACATTTAAATTTATGACCTGGAATAATTCAAATTATTCAATTTGAAAAATTCAATTATTCAATTATTAAAATTATTCAAGGTTTAATCCCTTCCCAGTTCATATTTTACTGAATTTTAATATATTTATGAGGGAAAAAAATGAAAACATTCACCACAAACACCCTGAAAATGAACTGGGTACACTCAAACTTATTAAATATTTAAATTTAGGAGGAGCCTTGACAGTGACCTGGAATAATTCAAATTATAACAGCTTTAATCCCTTCCTAGTTCATATTTTGCTGAATTTTAATACATTTATGAGGGGAAAAATGAAAATATTGACCACAAACACCCCGAAAATGAGCTGGACTTACCGCCCCTGACTTTTCCTGGAATATCCTGGGATTTTTATCCCGGGATTTTGCCGTGGGATAGTTCCGAGGATGCTCCGGGAGGTTTTTTTTAGTTTCTTTTTAAATTCGCTTTTTTCAAACCTCGCCCGAGGGAGGGACCGAAAGTGGCCGATAACGGCTGGGCTGAAAATCAGCTCGAAAAAGGTGAAAAAATTCGGATTTTTTCTCCTTCCCCTTTCCCCGCCAAGAAATTCTTCTGCCCCAGGGCTGAGGGAGAGGAATTTTAACCTTTTCAGCGCTGATTTTATCTCTAAAAACTCGGGTTTTGCAGAGAATTTTTAAATTTTTTTTAGGCAGTTCGCTTCTCATTAATATTGTTATTTCATCAGAAATTAATTTTTGGCGTTAATTAAGGTTTTGTGCGCGAGGTTTTAAAATATTTCCAGGAGAAAACAGAAGAAAATTTAAGGATTTAGCCCCACTGAAAAGCTCCCACGTGGCGGAAATTCCTTAAAAAAAAAAATTTAAAAATGGAATTTCGTGCTCGGCCAGCTCAGAAATTTGGAATAATTCCAATCGCAAAGTTCACCTCCCAACCCCATCCAAAAATGGATTTCCGGGCATTTTTTTGGTGCTGAAAATCGTGAATCACACCCGAGTCATGAGCTGAGCAAATTTTCCACTCCAAAATTTCACCCCAGGCGGGGGAAAAATAATTTGCCTCCTTTATGACTAAAAATCGAATTTTTTATGACTAAAAATCGCCTTTTTAGGACTAAAAATCGCCTTTTTTATGACTAAAAATTCCTTTCTGAGGCACCAAAACCCCCCCAAAAAAACCCGCAGCTTTTTTCAAACTAAAAATCCCAAGTGGCTGCAAAGTCAAATTAAAATTTATTCAAGCTTAGATTTAAATTTATGAAGAGCATTGAAAATGACATGGAATAATTAAAATTACAGCAGCTTTAATCCCTTCCCTGATGATATTTCTGCTGAATTTTAATACATATATGAGGGGAAAAAAATCAAAATATTGAACATAAAATAATTTTAAATCTCCCAAAATGAGCTGGACAGGATTGATTCAAACTTATTAAATATTTAAAAGTCTAAATTGTTTTTAAAAGTTTTTAAAGTCTAAATTGTTTTAGAGTTTTAGAGTCTAAATTGAAGGGAAAAGAATTAGTTTTTAAATTCTGTTTAAAGTAGAAACATAGCAGGGATTGGGCCAGGGATTTTTCCAGCTTTCAAATGAAGTAAAATACTTAAAATAAAGTCGTGATTTTAGGTAATTTTAATTAAAAAAAGCACTGATGCAATCATGAAGTGATTGATTGATTAATTAAATTTATCCTCGTCAATCCCTGAGGGGGTTTCACACCTCAAATTTAGCCCATTTTAATTAAAAATACACTTTAAAAATTCAAAATTGAATTTTCATTGAAATTGAAATTTTAACTGAAATGGAATTTTAAAAATTCAAAATTTTAGGCATTTTGCCCAAAAAATACCACCCAAACCTCGAGTAAATAAAAGATAACAAATTAAAAAAAAATAAAATAAAAATGTTGTGCAACTGTTCCTTTGGTTGCGAAATGTTGTGAAAGCGGGAGGAAAACCAAAAGTGATCAATTAAAATGACAAAAAAAAAGCGAATTGCTCTGCAAATCTCCCGAAATCCCGGCAGGAATTTGGGATAAGAAAATATTTCCACCCATTTAAAAGTCCTGATTTGTGGTTATTTCTATTTTAAAAGGGGGAAAAAATGGGGTTTTCCAATAAAAACCCGGAAAATCCTGGAATAATGGAATTACAGAGCGGTTTGGGATGGGGAAAAGCCTCAAAATTCTGGAAATCCTGGAATTATTGAATTATAGAGGGGCTTGGGATGGGGAAAAAGACCTCAAAATTCTGGAATAATGGAATTACAGAGAGGTTTGGAATGGAAAAAAGCCTCAAAATTCTGGAAATTCTGGAATAATGGAATTACAGAGAGGTTTGGGATGGAAAAAAAACCTGGAAATCCTGGAAAAATTGAATTACAGAGAGGTTTGGGATGGGAAAAACCTGAAATTTCTGGATATCCTGCAATAATGGAATTACAGAAAGGTTTGGGATGGAAAAAAGCCTCAAAATTCTGGAAATTCTGGAATAATGGAATTACAGAGAGGTTTGGGATGGAAAAAAACCCTGGAAATCCTGGAATAATGGAATTACAGAGAGGTTTGGGAGGGAAAGAACCTGAAAATTCCGGAAATCCTGGAATAATGGAATTATAGAAAGGTTTGGGATGAGAAAAAAAACCTGGAAATCCTGGAATAATGGAATTACAGAGAGGTTTGGGATGGGAAAAAAACCCTGGAAATTCTGGAAAGCCTGGTATAATGGAATTATAGAAAGGTCTGGGATGGAAAAAAGCCTCAAATTTCTGGAATAATGGAATTATAGAAAGGTTTGAGATGGGAAAAACCTCAAAATTCCTCCCAGTCCGTGGGCAGCGATGCTTTTCCACGATCCCAGTTTTTTCCAACCCGCTTCCAGGGATGGATCAGCCAGGGATTCTCTGGGAATTCCATCGCAGGGAAGGATTTATTCCCCAAAAAAATCAATTTATTCCGCACACCGCGCTGTCAGGCCGGAGCCATTCCCTCCCAGGGATGGATCAGCCAGGGATTCTCTGGGAATTCCATCGCAGGGAAGGATTTATTCCCCAAAAAAATCAATTTATTCCGCACATCGCGCTGTCAGGCCGGAGCCATTCCTTCCCAGGGATGGATCAGCCAGGGATTCTCTGGGAATTCCATGGCAGGGAAGGATTTATTCCCCAAAAAAATCAATTTATTCCGCACATCGCGCTGTCAGGCCGGAGCCATTCCTTCCCAGGGATGGATCAGCCAGGGATTCTCTGGGAATTCCATGGCAGGGAAGGATTTATTCCCCAAAAAAATCAATTTATTCCGCACACCGCGCTGTCAGGCCGGAGCCATTCCCTCCTCCTGTCACTCCAGGCCCTTGGGGACATCCCCCCTCCATCCTTTTTTCCCGGGGGCACAACGAAACCAACCCGAAAGGATCCCGGCGATCCCAAAGTTCCCCGGGAAGGGATGTAAATTCCCGGGCTCCCGCCGGGCCAGCCCCCCGCCGGCGCCGCCTCAGCCCCGCTCACCCTACAGCCGCTCCAGGGCCCGGGCCGGGCCGGCCCAGGCGCCGCCGCCGCCCCGCGGGCCCCGCGCCGCCATCTTGGCGCGGCCGGCCGCGGCTTCCCGCGGCGCCCAAGATGGCGGCGGCGCCATGGAGGGCAGCGAGCGCGGCCGCGGGGCCGCGGGGCGGCAGCGCCCCCTGGCGGCCGGGAGGACCCAGGGGTGAGAGCGCGGCCCGCGCGGGGAATGGCAATGAACGAGGAGGAGAATTAATGAAAAGATGAAAATGAAAATGAAATAAAATAAAAATAAAAATTAAAATTAAAATTAAAATTAAAATTAAAATTAAAATTAAAATTAAAATTAAAATTAAAATTAAAATTAAAATAAAAATTAAAATTAAAATTAAAATTAAAATAAAAATTAAAATTAAAATTAAAATTAAAATATCAAAAACTAAAAATAAAACTAAAAATAGAAATAGAAATAGAAATTGAAATAGAAATAATAGAAATAGAAATAGAAATAGAAATAGAAATAGAAATAGAAATAGAAATAGAAATAGAAATAGAAATAGAAATATACATAGAAATAGAAATAGAAATAGAAATAGAAATAGAAATAGAAATAGAAATATACATAGAAATAGAAATAGAAATAGAAATAGAAATATACATAGAAATACACATAGAAATATACACAGAAATATACATAGAAATATACACAGAAATATACATATACATAGAAATATACACAGAAATATACATATACATAGAAATATACATATAAATATGCATGGAAATATAAATATAAATATACCTGGAAATATACATGGAAATATAGATGGAAATAATATACATGGAAATATACATAGAAATATAAATATAAATACACATAGAAATATAAATATACATAGAAATGTACATAGAAATATACATAGAAATAATATAAACATGAATAATAGAAATAGAAATAGAAATAGAAATAGAAATAGAAATAGAAATAGAAATATTTAAAAGTGTAAGAATACACATATGCATATGCATATGCATATGCATATACATATACATATACATATACATATACATATACATATACATAAATATGAAAAATAGAAACAGAAATAAAAATATGAATATAAATAAAAAGATAAATAAATTAGAAATAGAAATATACATAGAAATAATATAAATATGAATAATAGAAATATTTAAAAGTGTAAGAATATAACTATAACTATAACTATAACTATAACTATAAATATAAATATATAAAATGTAAGTATAAATGTAAATATATAAGTATAAATATAAATAAAATTCCTATAAACTTCTTTCTTTTATTTATTTGTAAATTTAACTTAAAATTCGTAAAATCAAATAAATAAGTTAAATTAAATACATATATATAATGTAAATTAATATATCAATCTAAATGTAAATAACCATAAAATTCCTATAAACTTTTTTATTTTATGCACTTGTAAATTTTAATTTTAAAATGTTGTCAAATCAAATAAACGCATTACATAAAAATCTAAAATTCAAAAATGCAATCAAAAATGAACGTGAAATAAACCCTTAATTTACAAATATTTCAAAACAAAAGTCAAAAAACACCATTAAAAATTAAAACGAAACAAAACTTTCAAACTATTTCCAAACTGATAATAATAAATGCATCAAATAATACCAAACAGTAACCACGCAGCGAATATATTTTATTTTCTAATATGCGGTATAAAATGAATAAATAAAAATCTATAAGAATTAGGCATAAATATTAATTTAAATTATAATAATTGCCTGGAAAATGAATAGATTATCTCGCTCGGGATTATCGAGCCTGAAGGATGGAATAAATCAAAAAATCCAAATTTCCACGTGTGTCTATGAGCTGGCGAAATATTCCCTCGAGCTGCGTTATTGTCATTTTAACACCCTGGGAAATTCCCCTGGATATTTTAACATCCCCTGGAAAATCCAAATATCAAAATATCAAAATCTCCAGGATATCCGAATATTCTGGATATCGCCATATCCACCTGGATATTAGAATATCCAGCTGTATTTATTTCAAAAATAAACACATTTTCCTGGGTTACCTGCCCGGTCGCGCGGGTGAACTGAATTATTCCCCTTCCAAAATGGGAATATTTTCCACGCCTTTGGAAAATCCCAAATTAATCCCAGCACTGGGGAACTGCCGGCACCAAACTCCGCTGCCGTGGGCGGACAGAAATAATCAGGATCTTTTGAGAAATAATTGGGAATTTTGTTCCGATTCTGTGGTTGCTCCGAGCGGAGGGAAGCTCGCGGTCGAGGGCGGATTCCCGGAAAATTTGGATTTTTCCAATGAAAAAGCAGGAGCGGCCGTCCCGCCGTGCGCTGATAAAAGCTGAGCGCGGGCTGTGCGTGCAGAGCCCGGATAGCTCAGTCGGTAGAGCATCAGACTTTTAATCTGAGGGTCCAGGGTTCAAGTCCCTGTTCGGGCGAAAACTCTTTTTCTATCTATTCTTTTTTTTTTTTTTTTTTTTAATTTCCTGACAGGATTCCTCGCAGATGCAGCCGGGATCGTCCCGAAGGCAACGCCGACCGTGGCACGGGTGTAAAAAAGGGGTTTTTGGGAAAAAAAATATAATGGAGAGGGGACAAAATAAGGAAAATTAGTAACGCCCGAACAGGGACTTGAACCCTGGACCCTCAGATTAAAAGTCTGATGCTCTACCGACTGAGCTATCCGGGCTCTGCTGCGAACTGTGGCACTGCTGGGGTATCCCCCTGCGCAGGAGTTGTGTGGCCGATGGGGTTTCTGTCTGCACCCCACTGTCTGCACCCCACTGTCTGCACCCCACTGTCTGCACACCCATCTGCACCCCACTGCCTGCACCCACATCTGCACCCTACTGTCTGCACCCCACTGTCTGCACCCCCATCTGCACCCACATCTGCACCCCCATCTGCACCCCACTGCCTGCACCCCCATCTGCACCC